CATATCTCAAGCACTTGTACATAATTTCATGATTGCTCTCTTCATATTCTTTTGCATTCAAAATAATCAGATGTTTCCTAGTTATCTAACTGAAGTCCTTTTCGTTGAACTTTTTCAGGAGATAGTAATTATGGGGATGACAAACTTCTCATGGTTAGCTATGGTTGCACAGACATCATATTATGGGAAAATTTGCTGAGAACTGAACAATTCCCAATTTTCAAATAGTATAGAAATGTTATCTTCTTCTGGTGGAACAACTTCGATGAAATTCGAGTATGTTAATAGACCGAAAGTGTAGCTTTACATGGAATGCTTACATATGAAAGAATCTAGTTTTAACTGGGAAGAGAAAAATAAGACACTAATGCTTCATTAATATAGTAATTTTGAGTTGTTTAGAGTAATTGATGGACTCTTGAATCCTTGATGACGTGTTTTTTTTGCACCCTGGTTGTGAAAGTATGTCAATTTAGTGAGTAAGGATTGATTAAAAACCCTTGATTGCATATGCTACTCTAGAGACATCTGAAAATTGTAATGACACTATCTAGAAACTAGAATGGTTCATAAGGGAGCTACGACTGGTGGCTTTGCAAGTGAGATGACTTTGCAAGTGAGCTTTGTGATGATGACCTTGTAGGATATACTTATAAAGACACAATTTCTGTTCCAAATGAAATTGTCCACTATTCAGAACTTCTCACACTTAACACAAAGACACTTTAATCAATTTAGCATTCTCTGTGTATGTCTACAAGGTCTTGCAATATGTCGGTTGGGTAACTATAATTATGACCGAGAAGCCTATCATCAAGGTTTGTTTATGATTGAGCTTGAAGTTTTAGAATCAAACACTAAAAGTTGTGTAAGTTTGCTGGTTTTCTAAGTAGTGGAGTCTTTACACAAGTAAAAATGGCAATAAAGTGTTGAGTAGATCTTTTTCTCATGCAGTACGTCTTGATAGGTATACTTAGATTGTTGATCATTACTTCAAAGAAATAGGGATTCGACAATGAAGAAGAATCTTGTGAACAAGAGACCGGCTGACTTATCTTTTGTTTTGTTGTATCCTAAATTATTTGTGCAATCAAATCTTGCAATAATATAAATTGAATGGAAAAAGAATTAGCACAATATAATTGACAGATCTCTGAATACTATTGCATCGCTGCTAATTGACACCTCTCACCATTTTTGCACCATAGTCTATATTATATTCATAGCATGTTCAAATTCAATGGAAAAAATGTTCAGATTTACAGCAATGAGCAAGTACTTAGAAGTTGTGCACAAATTCCCTCAATGAAGAAAATGCTAGGCAAACTCAATAGAAACATGGAATACCAGTTTACTTCTACAGTCCCCAAGCAAGTCATGTGGGAGAAGAAGCTGAAAGAGACGATCAAATGAGTATTGTCATTGCTGTCATCAAGATTAAAATATTGAGAACTAGAATGCTTTAAAAATTACTAATCTAGTTAGGTAGATGCTCAATCGTTCAAACCAATGATCAAAAGAGAAAATATCTGAGAATCAGGCATCACCATATAACATTTGTTGTTTCTATGGTATTAAATCACGAAACTTAGTCCCTAAAAGAAGAACGGGGCAAAGAGGCAGAATCGTAAGCAAGGAGACAAAGAACAGACCTAGAGAAGAAGATTCTTGATTTCAGAATTGACAATTATGAATGATAGTGACAACAGTAATCATTTGCCTACTATTACATTAAATCTCCAAAAAGCTTGAAAATGCCGGACTAGTGCATTAACTGCACTTAAGCCCTAAACTTGCCTTGAACTCATTTATTAACCAAACTAATTATTCTGCAACCCAAACTTGTCAATTATTGCAACTGTCCGCGCCAACTCACAGCGGCAGCGCTTCTACTCCTCTGATGATTGAATGCAAAGATTGAAAGTTCATATCGTGATTCATAGCCCAGCATTTCCATCACCTTTGAATGAGCTCATCTTCATTGTAAGTAAAGGGTAAATTAAGACAACCAAGAGGATTGTCACACTTGTGTGGATAATGGGTCCTGAACCCCGTGATATTTCCATCTTCGGCAAAGGAGCCCAATAGCTTTTCCTCGCAGATCAGTGTCTGATTATCGGGCCAGGTGCAAATTGGTCGATAGTAGTAGTTTTTAGGGCATCTACATGGTAATTCCACAACATCAATGCTCTCAAAAAACCATGCCACAGAACTTAGTCTTTAACATAATAAGAGCTAATTCTCCTCCTAAAATCTTACACTTACAAAATCTTTGATCTCCACATGTACTCAATTACAGTAAAAAATCGATAAGTTGTGACCTCTAAAATTTATGATTTTATAGATTTGTATTGAATTGATAAATTAATAAGTTATTAATTTATTGATACATTATTTAGGAAAAAAAATGAAAGAAGAACTTTCAATTTATAATAACTAAGAGATAAAGTCGAGTTTTTGGATTATATGATTGAATTCTTAACTTATCACCTTATATACAACTTGTAAGAAAAAAAAACAAACTATCTTTTATATTTATATTTTAATACATCTTCCTAATTTCTTTGTTCTTATTTTGTGTAATTACTAATTAATATTATAGTCAAACATCTATAAATTAATACTCTCATAACAAAAATTTTTTGATTTCTAAATTTATTATTTAATTAATAATTTAATATTTATTAATATACTCATAAATTAATAAATTATTAATTTAGAGACATATTTTGAAAAAAAAAATTCTTATTTCTAAGAACTGGGAGATAAAGCCAAGTTTGGATTATATGAATTTAATTTTTAAGTTATCACAATAAATGTTTATTTTAAGAAAAGGAAACTATCTGTATATTCATATTTTAATAATCTTTTTACTTTTTAATTTTTATTTGTGTATAATTATTAATTAATTTTATTGAGGCAACCAATATTTATATAGAGGTTTTGTGAAAAATTATTATTTTATTATTTGTACTGGTCCTGACTTAAGAACTAGAAAATTTATTAATTTATAGGATATTAATTTATATATGTTTTATTGTATATAGGTAAGTATAAAATTCCTAAGACCTAGTATAAACAAACTAGCTTTCATGTAATGTTCACAAGCCATATCCAGTGGCAGAGCCAGCATTTTATCTTAGGAGGTGTGATAAAATCAACAAAATAAGTCTATTAAAACCTAAAAATACATATTTAAGTATTAAAAAATTACTAAAATAATTTTTCCATTTAGAAAAAAACTAAAATATATTAAATTACTATATCATTATAAGATTTGATTATTTAGTAATTTATTGATATTATTATTTTTTTGAATGCACTGGGAACTCCATTAGAGATAGGTCTACCATTTGTAAAATCAAATGCCTTAAAAAGAGTATTAAAAAATTTGTAAAACTTTAAATTAATTTTTAGTGCGCAGTTTCATTCATATACATTTTTTTTGCGTTAGTAAAAGGAAAGTGCATGTACGGATACATATTGAACTCCATTTGAGATCAAAGTGAAGGCCAACTCTTCAATCATATAGAAGTAAAATCCTAAATAATAATAATGTTTTCTGTTTATATCATTGTTGTAATGTTATCAGATTCTATACTATTAATATTTACAACATATGAAATTTAATAAAAATATTCGAAAATTTTTGATATTTTAATTAATTTAAGATAATGAGTAATATGAAATTGTTCCAATCTCTTTCCCATAAATTAATTGAAATATTTCCAATTATTTTGGAGCCGGTCCGAAATGAAACATTTACATTTTTTTCTTAATTAAAATTTAAAAATCTTTAAAAAAATAAAAAATCGAGGGGGCACGACTGCACTGGCTGCCCCTTACTGCCTCCGCCTCTAGCCATATCCAATGCATTTATACACCCCAAAGGAAACTTCACATTATAGATCAATATTATTTTTTAAAGCAATGGTTCAAGAAAATCAACTTTTGAAGTTATCATTAAACTATACTTTTTCATGATTTGGAATTCCTTCATCTTAATAACTCCCCCTATCCCCAAAAAATAGTTCACATTGAGTTTTTCAAATATGTATTGTTTTTAGTACTAATCTCAAAACTCAATAGACTATTTTTTGGGGACAGACTTTCCTTCCATTATTATTGTTCACAAAAATAAAATCTTGCAACCTAAATTGACGAAATATTCTAAATTTCCTTCCGAAAACTTAAAATTTTAAGTCTATAACTTGGAATTTCTATGTTTCTCACTTTAAGTTTTCACATACATTTTTACGTATGAAAAACACCTTATCAAATTTTTAAATAATTCAAGGTCTTAATTTGAAAAGTTTAAAATGCATAATTAGTAGTTTTTTTTAAAAAAAAAGTACAAAATTAATAATTAATGAAGAAAGGTTAGAATTGTAAAAAAGTAAAACAAATGGACTTAATTAAAAATCTTTTAAAGTTGAAAATAAATTCTTTAGCAAAAAATTTGGTAAAATTATTAAACTACAGTAAAACGTTGATAAATTAGTAATAAATAAATTAATAACTTCTAGCAATTAATAATTTTCTCTGGTCCCGAGTACAAAAGGTAAATAAAATCGATAAAATGATAAGATAATAATATTTCAAAAAAATTCTTATATATCTATAGGTCCCGACAATACCATAAATTAATAAATCTCCTAAAAGAAGAAGAATAATAATAATAATAATAATAATAATAACTACAAATATTTAGTACAATATAAACTATTTATACTTGTTTTTTAGTCACTAGAGATGATGTGAATTATGTATGGATATCAAGTATTCAAAAGAGTTTTAAATATTCGATTAATTCAAATGTAAAGACAATTACAAATTATATAATCCAGTGAAGGTTTAGAAATTCTTTAAATTAATAATTTATTAATTTATGAATTATTTAATAATTCTTTAAAATAATAAATTTTATTGGTCCCAAGTCCCAACACTGTTAATTTATAGAAATTCTACTGTATATGGGCAGGTTGTCTTTTTCTTTGAAAATTTAAAACTCAAATGACGACCATTCTATAATAAGTGGAGGAATTGGGGGCGTTTTTTACTTCTTAAATTAAAATCGTCTTTTTTTCAACCAAAAAAAGAATCGTCTGATTCTTCTTCTTCTTCCTTTCTACGCCAGGAAACACATAGTGCTGCTGCCGCCGTCTAATTTTCTTTTTTGTTCTGCTCTGGGTGTGCCTAGGCTTCTGCGGGCGTATACACTGGATCCGCCTCTGCTTTTATGCATATGTAGGTAGGTATTCATTTCAAGGTGGGATGTTTAGTCCTTTAATTTGTTTCAGGATTCAAGTTCTCTAAATGAATCACTTGCTCCCCGTTTCTTATTTCTTCATATATATGACCTCTCTTTTTTCAGTAATTCCTTTTTTTTCGTGTGTAGATTTTATGCATATTGGTTCCCACTTCCCAGGCAATCAATACAATATTGGACTTGTATTGGTTTACTCTGTTGGGTTGTGCGTTTTCTTTTGTTTTTTCCATTTCCCTTATAGCTGTTTGTTGTTTTGCACGTAAATTTAACTCGAAGAAAACAGGACCATTATAATTGCCAAGTATTAGACTATACATCAGTTCTTATGTTTGAAAGCATACACACTTCAACCCTGCTCTTTTGCTGTCAAAGTAATGGAAAGTTTGTGTCTGGACTAATAAAGGCTCCTACTTGTTTTAAAAGCTCTTTTATGTGCTCTTGGGTGCTCCCTCCCTCAACGGCTTTAATTTTTACTGATGTCGGAGATCTGCCATAATCTAGTGAACCGAGAGCTGACATTCTGATTTATTTTCTCTCTACCCTTCATTGCTTTCTATTTCAACGTTTTGGCATGCTTTTTTTTTCTCATGTTGATGATTTCTACCATGTGACAAAATCTTTGTTGTTTTAAGCTATGTCATTGTATCATTCTAGTTATTTTGTGCTACAACATCAGTGTTATGGACACTTTAGTGTGGTGATGCAGCTGTTGTTTCACTTTGCTTCATAGGCTAGGCAATGTATATTTAACTCTATTAGTTTGTTTTGTATCATATGATACACAAGCTTTGCTAACGTTTTTTACTCATGGTTTGCTGAAAAAGGTGAGACGAAGGATATTAAGGACACCACGGAAGCTGCGAGATCCAAAGCTTTTGGCGTCTGCTGGTAGAGTCCTAGTCAAAAGCTCAGTTGCCATTTCACAGTTTGTCCAACGAAGAATTTCTAACTGTATTGTCTGTCAATCATGGGTGTAATTGAGCTTTTGTGCAATGCACCATCATCGTCACTTTGCATTGACAGACTGAAATTGAATAGGGTATTTGAATATCAGGGTAATTGCAGTAGCAGAAGGAGGAGAAAAGTGCCTTTATTTAGTGTCATGGCATCAACTGTTCCTGCAGCTGCTGTCAATGAGAAAGAGGATAGTCAACAAGAGCAGTTATCAGCTAATGTTACTGGCGCCTCTTTTATCCGACCTCATCTTCTCAGATTGAAACCTTATCAGCCCATTTTACCTTTTGAGGTGTTATCTGCTCGGCTTGGTCGGAAACCAGAGGATATTGTAAAATTGGATGCAAATGAAAATCCATATGGGCCGCCTCCCGAGGTTTTTGAGGCTTTGGGAGCGATGAAATTTCCTTATATTTACCCTGACCCAGAAAGTCGCCGATTGCGTGCAGCACTTGCTGAAGATTCAGGTCTTGAATCTGAATACATTCTTGTAGGCTGTGGGGCAGATGAGCTAATTGATTTAATCATGCGATGTGTGCTAGAGCCTGGTGACAAAATAGTTGACTGCCCTCCTACATTTACTATGTACGAGTTTGATGCTGCTGTTAATGGTGCCAGTGTAATCAAGGTACCCCGCAAGTCAGATTTTAGCTTGGATGTTGGACGAATTGCAGAGGCTGTTGAGCAGGAGAAACCAAAGTGCATATTTTTAACTTCACCGAATAATCCAGATGGGAGCATAATAGGAGATGACGCTCTTTTGCAGATACTCAAGCTGCCGCTATTGGTGATTCTAGACGAGGCCTACATTGAGTTTTCTGGGTTAAAGACTAGAATGCAGTGGGTGAAGAAGCATGAGAATTTGATTGTTCTCCGGACCTTTAGTAAGAGAGCTGGTTTAGCTGGTCTCCGAGTGGGTTATGGAGCCTTTCCTTTGAGTATCATTGAATATCTGTGGAGAGCAAAGCAGCCATATAACGTGTCTGTTGCAGCTGAAGTATCTGCCTGTGCAGCACTGCAAAACTCTGTCTATCTTGAAAATGTCAAAGTGGCTCTTGTGCAAGAACGGGAAAGGCTGTTTAAACTTTTGAAGGAAGTACCGTTTCTTAATCCCTATCCAAGTTATTCTAATTTCATTCTTTGTGAGGTCACATCGGGAATGGATGCCAAGAAATTGAAGGAGGACCTGGCCAAAATGGGGGTGATGATTCGTCATTACAATAACAAGGAATTATCAGGTTATGTTCGTGTGTCTGTGGGCAAGCCTCAGCAGACAGATGCATTAATGGATTGTTTACGGCGCTTTTTCTAATTTCAATGGAGCGCTTGTTTATTGCTGTATGAGAGGAGCCAAACTCCCGAAATGACTGATTGGGTGACTTTTAGTTGGCCAACTAAGTTATCAGAGGTGCTCAGGATTTCATCAGCTGCCTGATTCAATCACCGGCAAAGCCTCAGTGTTGCTAGAACCTGAAGGTCTTTGAGATGATTTCCAGGCTGGAATACTGGGGACCCCTGTTTGCTTAGCTCCTCTTGGTCTGATTTTCTTTGTGAACCGAAGACATTGTAACTCTTTTTGTAGGTCTGTTTGTAATTGGATGGTGAATGTGATTGCTGTTTGGCTGCAGATAAATATTTTGAGCCAAAATGAAGATTTCAGTTAAGACCTAAAAAAGTTGCATCCTTTGCAGACCATTTAAGTCATCAACCACCTACCCGGCATGAACAGAGTTAGTAACAAACTCATTTTGTCTTTCTCTAGTAGTTGTCTTCAGTATTTTGTTTGGTAACTCTGCATCAGACTGTAATAAGCAATTGCAAAAACCGAGCAGAAAACCTCAACATTCAGTGATTATGCGAGGAATTTGGTTGATGATCGGATGAAGTCTCTTTGTTTCTGCGAATGATCACTGGTCTATTGTTGATAGATTATGCCACTTTGGCCTTCTAGTTTTTTAACATTAGATCTGAGAAACTGACAGTTAAGTGTTAGTTTGAGCTCTCTAGTTGACAGAGTTTGAGGACATCATCACCAACGAGTAATCCAAACTTCATCAGAAAGAATCCTGTAAATGATGCCCTTTTAGAACAAAACGAAAAAAAGACGCGGATTGGAGGGAGTAATAATTGTTTAAATATTTGATGAATACTAAAAGTAATGAAATGTACCATAACTCCATAAATCTATATCTATTATATATAAAAGGAGATGATAGTAACTAGTAAACAAATAAGAGTAGCGTCCTCATTATGAAGCTAATCTACAAACAGTCTTAACTTCCGGTGGGCATCTCGCTTACATTTGCCGCCTTTTTGAATTGTCTCAAAATTATTATTCAATTTGTATTTTCATTTTAGTCTAATTTGAACTGAAAATCAAAATATAAACTTGTAATAATTCCCGAGGGAGGAAGACTTTCGAAATCCAAGGTGCAGTTACTGACCCAGTGAACAGTCACTAAATTTAACAGAAGGGATTCAGGTTGGCATTTTTGTAAATAAACCAATTTTTGAATATATTTGCAATTTTTGTTAGATTCTTCTTCGCCCAGAGTTATCCTCTTCCTGCCAGACCCTCACTCCTCAGCTGCAACTTTCTTCTCCTTCAAAAACTTCAAATATTTGGTTAGTATTTCTTAAATTCTTCCGATTAATTTTGTTTCTAATCCATTTGTACAGATTTTACAGATTAAAATTGATGATTTAAGGGCTAGTCATCGTCTCACTCCTCTTATACCCCATTGGCTTTATCAACTATCTATAGATTGACAGTAGCAAAACCGTTTTCTGGAAATGATTCCGTGTTGTAATTCTGGAAATTTGTTTCGAACGTGCGATAGGGAATTGGGTTAGCTTTTCAACTGTTGTGGAGTTTCAGTAAGAATGAAATTAGGATAAACACTGACTGTCTGAATATAAAAGACGTTCATGCTCTGAAAAGGAATTCAAATCTTAGGTTAGAAACTTTTGTCATCATCAAGATATTTACTCTTGTCGTCATTCATTAATTCGTTGCTTTCCAATGCTAAAATGATTGAGCTCTGAAAAGTTTTCACCAGAGGTTGGAGTTTTTGTATCAATTCTCCGCAGAGTATTTGTATTTGACATCTTTTTTTTTCTTCTTCTAAATATACATCTTATCTATTTGCCTGTTCAACATTAGGTCTATAACCTTGCTTTGGAACAGCAACAAATTCTGCTCAAATGGCTAAAGCGATGAGTGATTACATTTGCGTTAGAGAAGCAAATGGGAGTTCTAAAGATTTAGCTTCCTCATTTGGTGTACGGTTTAAATCTTCGAGAATTCGAGCTTCACAGCCCCGTAACCACAAGAACAACTTCTACAAACAACTGGGTTTGTTTCGATATCCCCTCACCTCTCTAATTTCAAGCTTCTTCACGTGAATGTTTTATATAGTATGATTGCTTTCTACCAAGTTCAGGAAGTAGTTTACCTTTGGATATCGGTTGTTCTGATTACTTTATTGAAAGTGGGTTCTAGTAAGTTGTTGAAAACTGTTGCCTAATATCTCTGTGTTGCCTAAAGATTGACCGGATATTTGCTTCGAGGATTAGGCTGTTAACTTGTAATAGTGGATAATTAAAATAGGATGGGAAGACTAGTTTATGGAGTACCAATGTTATACTTAACTCTTTAATGCAAAGTCTTTAATGCTCTGAGTGTCATGCAAATCGAAAATGATTTAGATTATTTTGAATAAGGACTGTTCTTTCAACCCCTTAAGCAGTTCATCAAACATAACAAAACCAGTTTCAAAAGCTTCTTTTGGGAATTATGATGCTCCAATTTAGTTGACGGGTGATAATTTGTTCCCATTGTCATATAAGCGATTTGCTGTTTCTAATTTCTTGGAAATGTTTGGCTCACTGTGAGGAATATATGGTAGGTATGTTTGCCTTGAGGAAAAAGATAGAAGATTCAATTCTTACCGCAGAGATATTGGCACCCTCAGCATTGGAACAGGAAGAAGTGAGACGTATCAAACAACAGAAAGTTATTCGCGAACGTAATTTGTGGGATGACCTACCTGAGGCAGATGAAGTCCTGGTCAAATTGGCTGAAAGTGACGAGCTGGTTGATTCTCTCAAGGATCTTAAGTTTAAGGTACTATGCTATGCATTTATGTCCTCATGTATCCATTCTTTTCCTTCCATTACTTGCTTTATCTCGTTTCTGCATAAACTTAGCGGCATGTCCTAAAATTTCTTTGGTCTTGCACCTTTCTTAATCTGGACATTCTTCCTCGTCTTGTGTGTATTTGAGATCCAATACATACTTCCTCGTCTTTTGTGTATTTGAGATCCGATCATGCAATACAGATTTGTTTTACATTGATTTATTTTTATTTTTATTTTATTTTATTTATTTATATTTTTTGGCAGGCTGAGGAAGCTAAACTTATCATGGAATTGGTTGAGACTGATGCTATAAATGATGGACTTTTTAAGCAGGCGTACACTGCATCCATGGATGTAAGTAAGTTTCTAAAGAGATATGAAATGTCCAAGTATTTTAAGGAGCCATATGACAACGAGGGAGCTTGTCTTATCATTGAATCTGGAGATGAAGGAATTTACGATGAGGTATATGAAGACTGTCTTTTATCCATAGCTACTAGTTAGAGAGAACTGACAGTTTTTGCACTTCTTTTTTTTTGGTTTTGATGATATTCTAACAGAGGCACTGATTCTCTATATGCTTAATTCTATGCCCAAAATAACAAAGCATGTAAATCGTTTAATATTGGTCACATTTTTGCAAAGGTCAGTGAATACTGATATGCCTTGTTATGTTGCATTGTCTACGCACCTTTTTGGGTTTTAAACTTAATCATTCCTGATAAAGAGGTATGCTTGCTACAAAAAGAGTGAATTATTTTCACCTTCTGATGCAGAGATGGGCCGAGCAATTAGTACAAATGTATATCAAATGGGCCGAAAAACAAGGTCATAATTGGAGGGTAGTTGAAAAACTTCCTCTGAAAGGTTCTGGTATTAAGTATGCAACACTTGAGTTTGAATCAAAATTTGTTTATGGATATCTAATGGGAGAAAGAGGTGTCCACCATATGATAAGGGCTTCACAAGATGGATCTGTTTCCTCTGAGGTATGCTCCCAATTATTTCTTTTTGATTGAAGTATTGTTTTGTGTTATATCAATGTCCAGTTCGCACTTCATCATAAATTGACATGCTACATATGCTCTTTCCTCTCTCCACTTATCTTATTTACAGACTTCGACTGTTTGTCTCATGACTACTCTGCATGGCTTTATTTCTTGCATTTTTGGAGATTAAACCGCAGTAGTGTTGTCCTTTTCTCATCATATGCCCCTCGTGGAAACATTCACAGCTTGTAGCACTATATCTTAAGCATTTATCAGCTCTTTCACCTTTTGGTTTTGATAAACTCTGGCATTGTATCTTGCGCATTCTATCTTCGTTTTCTCATTATGTATTTGTCATTGATGCCTTCAACTTGCTTAATATGGTGCAGACTAGTTTTGCTACCGTGGATGTTATTCCTCTGTTTCTCGGATCAGAGCCTGACGTCATTATTCATGAAAAGGATCTAGTCATATCATCTTTATTGCACAGTGAAGAGGACCAGCGCCGGAAAAACCCTTCAATTCACATACAGCACATTCCAACTAATTTAACCGTCAAATCGACTGGTAAATTCTATAAACCACTACTGATCTGTTCAAACATTGCGTTGCTTTATCGTTTGATGAGCCATGTAGTCTCAAACTTGTAAATTACTCAAAGTTTTGGAGTTGTTTGTTCAAGAAGATAGGATGTTTTCTTCAAGTAGTTATCTTAATACTTTTGAAGTTTTTATGAATGCTCTCCTGGTGTATTAGTTGATTTTGTACGTTATAATGCTTCATCTATTTAGAAAAGTAGATTTTTTTCTTTTTTCTCCCGTTGCAGGTGAACGAAGCCTTTTTGCTAATAAGATGAAGGCTCTAAATCGCCTAAAAGCCAAACTTCTCACCATCTTGAAGAACCAGGGAATATCCGCTGTTGAAGACATCGACAAGGACATGGTTCTTGATGCCCGGACCCAGGAAACCCGAAGATATGTGCTTCACCCCTCTAAGCGTGTTGATGATGTAAAAACTGGTTTCCAGTGCTATGATATTGATTCTGTTTTAAATGGAAATATAGACTCTCTTATTGCTGCTCACATCTATAATAGAAGTTCATCTGAGAGAATTTGATCAACATTTTTAATGCAATTTGTAAGAGTTTATCGAGCCCTTAGAGTTTGTTTTTACTCCAGATCCCAAAATAGATGCCTACCTCATAAGAAAATGGTCAATTTGACTCAAAACTTAACTCCATAAATGATTTATCCCAAAAGAATTTCAAAAGCCAATTCATTCGAATTGTTTTACTTTTTGGTCAGTTGCATCCAATTTTGTTAATTTAACCATTATCAATTTATTATAAAATAATAAATTTAATCAGACCCTCATAGTTTTAAGAAAAACAACAACAATAACCCTCAAAATATATAAATACTTTTATTAGTTGGTGGGGCGTTTGCGAAATGAACATATGGTTTCAGGGCCTTAAATTCACTTTAGGGAGGGGAGCTATCTTTCCAAACAAAAGTATTCCAGAATGTTTAATCCCCATGCCTTGTTTGGTCAGTTGACTTGGGCCATAGATTGAATGGAAGTACTTCTTAAGCACCTTGTCAATCGTGTCATGTCATTTAGTTATCTACTATTGATTGTCATAGATAAGGCTCAAATTGGACCAAATTTTGGAGCAATGAGGCCTTCTGTTTAAATTCTTTAAATCAGAGCCACAACGCTTGGGTTGGGACCAGCTCTGAACAGAAGTTACACGAATGATACAGGACAAAACCAAAAATTTTTTGAACAATGTATCCAAAGTTGAGATTAATGTTGTTGAGGGAAGTGAAGTTGTTCGAGGAAATGATTGATTTCTGGGATTTAATTCTGAGAAAAATAAAATAAAATAACAGCACATGTTGAAATGGTAAAAAAAAAAAAAATGTTTGCATAACTTCACCAGACTACTTCACCAGATAGTCTGATACTTATGTTCACAAATTGGACAACCACCACAAGAAGTGGAGAAAAGCGTCAGGAACTTTTAACAAAACTGTAAGAGCATATGCAATTCCAAAGTGCAGATATGTTAAGATCAGCTGTGGTAGCCATGATTCCTATCAAGTTGAGAAAAAAACAATCTTGTTCATGGGAAAAGGTTCTTTTAAATTTAAAGGTATCAGAAAATTTCAGCTCTTTTAGATGAAACAATTGATTTTCTTTTGGAAACATCTATTCCTAGATTTCAAGTATCATGTCCAGGTACTGACCTAAGTTCATATAATTGCTTGGCAAAACTGTCAAAATTGTGTATTTGGCACCACTATTGTCTTGGATTTCTCGTGACTTTGATGATGAGACTTCTGAACCCACATGTCCCGGTGCAAAGAAATAGAAGTGCCAAGTCGAGAAGCTACATTCTCGAATCATATTCCTGAGGGAAATCTTCTCTTCTTTAACAACCTCGTTATATGGGGTAATATGAATGACTGATATGCAGAGCTGAAAACCTAAGCAGACAACATTGATGACGCTGCTGATGATGACGAAGAATATTTAGAATAGGTAGCAGCAGAAACAGTTCTGTAAAGAGAAGAGAGCCAACAATATGATGCTACACAGTGTAATCGTAGCATTCTAATCTCGCACGAAGAGGATTCCATTTCCTTCCCCTGCAATTAGTCCATGAACTCATTATGGTAAGCCAGAAATATTGACAAAGACACACATTAACCCATAAATGAAAGGTACTTTAGCAATAATAAGCACAATTCTGCAAATAAAAGAGCAATGACAAAGGTTCAACTTCAAGTCATCAGTTTAGCACATGCAACACGCGGAAGGTGCAGAACCTCAAATAGATCAGATTCAGTATGAATTCTTACAAAGGGAAAAACTATTATTTGGTGCATACAGTAAGCCCTACAAATTAGAAACCAAGTCATTATGTTTCAGATTCCACAGCCTTGGATATGCATACTTCATTTATCAGATTTTACAGACATCTTTAGCCATTTATATTATTATCAGTTTTTGTTTAAGTTGGATAATCAAAATAATCTTTTCTGAGATATAACAACCCTTTAAAATGAAAAAATGTCAAAGACGATTTCCATTCATGTCCTACAAATTTCCACAACTTAATAGATCTTCCAGAACCATGTTCAGAAGCTTAGGCTGCAGTAAATATATGCTAATGACTTATTCCATAAATCTTCATTCATGGAAGGTATCATAAACTTCTTTATGATGGCACATTTGAGTGTACAATCCAAAAACCGAACATCCATATCAGACATGGTCAAAAAATACAGAAAGATGCATTATAAACAGGTATATCTATCAAGTCTCAGCACCTCAAATACCAAAACAATTAACTACTATGCAGATTAACTGACCTTGACGCTCTCCCCTTCCTTCGGCATCCAAGAACTACTTATTATCTGGTTTGACAGAGATTGTCCTATGAAAAGCTCCCTAGTATCTCTGAAATGAAAAATCATATAACTCATTAGAATGTGAAATAAGTAACCGAATAAAAATCATTTGATACGAATGAATAGGTAAAGTGTTTGAAACAAAACACTGAAAGGAAATAACACCCAGATAAAGGATCAACTAACCGCTTTCAGAGAAGCCAGATCCGAGGTGCGACGGACTACAATTCTGAGGAATCGTGCTCAACGACCCAGCACAGAAGCTTTTTGGCCTGTATAACTCCAAGTCAAGTCCTAAGAATTGTATGCAGGAGCATCTCCAATCGTAAAACAAGCAACTAACAAATTGACATTACCACTGAACGCAAAAGTGTTATTGCAGGTACGCTACCTGCGTAAGCGTCTGACGATTCATACCTTGAATCAAGCCAACAGTTAAGTTTTGACTTCAATCCTTCTGGTATGAGCGATCATGGCTGTTGTATGTCGCTATATGTATCCACTGTGCATATTTGCAGTTAAATATGGATCGGCAGTTTCCATCCCCAGAAGGGGCTCCGAATGCACCAGTGAGTGATAAGGCACTGTATTTTGTTGCTAATATTTTCTTTGTACAAATTATTTCTTTTGCTACCCAACTACACAACCACAGGAAAGACATGTTAGCACGGAACCAACTAAGACAAAGAATTTATATGCTGGAGGTGAAGATCCTGAATTATCTTCGTGAGCACAACACTGTTTTCCTTGGAAGAGGACAAGTGAAGTAAAAGTGCCGAAGTTGTTGAATCTAATTGAAAGCCTCTTCGAACTGTGTCTTTGATATAGATCTCCGCATCATCAAATTCACCTATGTTAAGAAGTCCTCGAATAATCGTATTGTATGTTATTCCATCCGCCAAGACACCTTTGTCTTCCATTTTCACAAAAAGTTCTTTAGCTTCCAATACCAAACCTCCTCTACAAAGGCCACTTATCATTGTGGTATAAGTTATGACATTAGGATTTAGTCCTTTCAAAGGGAGACTATGAAAAAGACCCCTGGCAGCATCAAGCCTCCCACATTTGCACAAACCATCAAGTAAAATGTTATACATAGGTGTATGAAGTTCTACTCCTTCGGTTTCCAACTTGTGAAGAAATTCAATGGCATCATCAGTAGAATCACTCTCGCATAGACCGTGCAACATTACGCAATAGGTATGAAAATCAGGAGGTATAGAAAGTGACTTCATCTCGATGAAAATATCTCTTGCAGTGGCATACCTTCTTGCCCTAAATAAGCCCTGCAAGACACTGGTGTAAACAACAACATCTGGGGTAAACCCTTTTCGGAAAAGCTCGCGAAAGAGTTGCATTGCTTGATCAACTTCAAATCTCTTGAAGTACCCATCTATCAATATACAGTAAGAGAACAAATTTGGAGCAACCACACTTCCAACCATGGTATCAAAAAATTCCCGTGCTTTGCTGATTCGGCCCTGCAAACAACATCCCTCCATGAGAGCGTTGTAGGTGAACACATCAGGGTTCTGGCCCCGTTGAGTCATCGTGTGGAATAAACCCTCAGCATCTTCCACTTTACCTTCCTTACACAATGCATAAATCAGTACATTAATAGTATATGTATCCGGAGCAACTGCCAAATCCACCATCTCCTTGAAGAGATTTAAACCCTCAGCCAACTTATTTATATTACTCAAACCCCTTATTAAACAAGTACAAGTAACAACATTTGGGGCAATGCCCTTCCCGATCATCTCACGTAACAGAAGAATTGCTTCATCAACCCTGTTATCCTTGCACAGACCATCAATGAGAGCACTGTATAGTATGGCATTCGGCTCAACTCTTCCTCTTTCCATATCTCTGAGGAATTCAATGGCGATGCTAGTATTCTTCACTTTACATAGCCCGTCTATCACGCTCCCAGACACGACGACACTGGGATCACATAATTTTTCACTAATTATTTTCCTAAACAATTCCTGAGCCTCTAAAATCCTTTGTTCTTTAAAGAGGCCTTTGAGTAAAGTACTAAACGTGCACGCATCAGGCACAAATCCACGCTTAAAAAACCCTCCCATTACAGCGAACCCAAAATCAACCTTATTCAGTAAACAGTAACAATGAATAACAGTGTTGAGAATATAATCACTAACCGGGAATCCCAGAGCAGTCATGTCGTGGTAGAGAGAAATGGCAAGTGAATAGTGCTTCAATTTAACCACGCGACCAAGCAATTGAGAGAAAGCAATATCGTTGGGCGGAGGATTCATTTGGACCATCTGTTCATACAAATCAAGGGCATCATCCGAACTGTTGATTTCATTCAATAACCCAGATTTCAATCTCGCATACAGATGCACTCTCTCTGGAGCAGACGAATTGTGGTGCTTTTGGGAGGCGGCAACATTGTGATACTCAAATTCCAAATTACAATTCAGCGGGAGCGGAGGATAGAAGTTAGCCGAAACCCATTTCGGAAAAGGATTTCCCTTTGCCGTCGGTGCCCTCATCATCATCTTTATCGTCATCATCATGAGCTTCGTCCAGCGTTGCAGTTTGGTTCTGTGAAATCGAGTGAATAATATGGTTTGCAAGAAGAATGACGAGACAATTCGGTGAAGCATTTTTAATCCTTTTGCCGAAAAGCGTTAATTAAATTTTTTAAAATTACATATAGTTTCGCTAAAATAAATTTAGGTATTAAAAATTTTTATTCAGAGTGTATTGTACATAATGAAAAAATGTATTGAAAATGATTCGGTCACATAAAATACAATGTAAAACTTTAATTCTAACTAGATGTTTATCACAGGTAGAAGTTCGGGAGCGACCCTACTTAACAAACTGAGATATGTAACTATAGTAGAATATATATTATGCCGTAACAAAAAAAAAAGACATATATTATATCATGATTAAATAGTGATAAAGAATAAAAAAAATTATTCTCAATGATCCAACTGTAAAAATACATCCGAAAATGAACATCCATTTCTCAGTATGAAATATACTGAAGTACCTAGTTTACTTTGATGACTGCAGAATTATACATGATTATATAGTAAAACTAAACAAAGAAAATTTGAGCCTGGACCTCCTGCAAATATGGTAGGACCAGTGGATTTGTTGGTATATCATAATGTTTATTGTGTAGAGCTGTAGCATTGACGTTTGGTTATATGTAACTGACCCTTTCTCGAGCTGTAGCCACATACATGCCCGTGCAATCTAGTTGATTAGATAGGATCATGTACTTATTCTGCAACCAAAGGATTATAAGAATCAAATGCAAAATCCTGAAGAACCATCTATTACGGTACATGACTATAACATAATTATCATGTGTAAAGCTTTTGTTCATGAAAATGAGTAGAATATGCTTTTGCCTAATCTAATGAATGTGTCTATATATTGGCCAATTCACTTGTTGATAATATAGTAAAGTCAATGCTGCATTTGATTCAAGAAAGCCGCATCATAAACGTTCATATAAAATAATTCAGATGCATAAAAGCCCCAAATAGTTGTCTACATATTGGCCAATTCACTCACAAGTATTTGCTTATAATTTTGCAAGTATCAGGATATGTATACACTATGCAGTAGTGAAAACATCAGAATTCAAACAGAGAAAAGGTCAGTAATCACACTCCAATCTTCTTTATAATTTTCCTAAAAAAAAAAAAACAAAACAAAATCCATGCTGATTGAATGGCAATATTGAATTTCATATGGAAGGCTTACCAAGACAAAAAGATTAAAACAAACCAAAATAATCCAGTGAAAATTAGATAGTATAATTAGACTACCAAATAAGCAAATTGGAAAAGAAAAAGAAAGAAAAAGAGAAAAGGGGATAATTACCAAAAAGTCTTATCTTCTTGTTCATGGTCATAGAATAAATTATGGTAAAAGAAGCTGATATTTCCTGCTGACAATAAAGGTGACAAATGATCAAATTATGATCACAAATCTGGAATCTTTTCATTAAATATATTTTCTTATGTATACCTGTACAAAAATAAACCTTTCAAAAATTTTGTGGACAAACTTATATGTCCCGAATTTAAGAAATTCGAATGGGGTAAAACTCGAATTTAGGAAATCCGAACCCCAATAAACTCGGATTATAAAAATCCGACTTTGTGTTACGTAAATCCGACATTAAGTTAATGACAGAAATTAGTGTAATTAATCTAAATCTAGATTTTATAAATCCGTATTTACGAATAAAATATTAATTTCCGGATAGAGAAAAAAATGTGTTGAAAAATTAAATTTGGGAAAAACCGGATCACGGTAATCCGAATATACGTAGATTCGGATTACCGAAATCTGAATCTCTTTTGTTTTCTGAAAAATGGGGACTCTCAGTTGGCTACAGACTCGGATTTCCGAAATCCGAATCCTTTACAAAAAGTCTGAGTTCGGATTTCGCAAATCCGATTCTTTGTCAGAACTGAAAAAAAAAATTGGACTGGTTTTCACCAGTCCTAAACCTGTTTACAGCACCAAAAACAATGAAACATTGGAAAACAGAAATTTAATGGCAATAAAACAATAAACGACATTCGATTAACAACAAAACAAATCAAGTTTCATACAAAAATCAATACAAAAACTACTTTAAATGTGCAAAATACATCAAATGTCTCATTTTTTCCCTTTTCCTTTATTGTGCGCATTCGGAGTGTATTTGTTTGGGCCCTGCCGGATCCTGTCTCCCCTCTTAAGATACGTGAGTATTGAACTCTGTTGTGGTTGCCACTGTCCACCAAACTGAGCCTCGAGTTGGGATTGGGATTGGGACTCCCCCATTGTGAGAAATTTGACTCCCAGTTGTGGTTGCGACTGTCCACCAAACTGAGTCTCGGGTCCACCAAGGTCAAACTGAGTCTCGGGTCCACCAGCGTCTTCTAAATGAGTCTCGACCTGGATGCGCGAGCCTCGAGAAGAATGTGCTTGATCCTTATTTTGTTGACCCTCAGTTTGTTGTTGCGCTGTCCGAGGGGGGATTGTGACCTTCCTCTTTCTTCCTCCTCCAATCTTATCTCTCGACCACGGTTTCGCTTTTTTACCCGGCGGAGGTTGTGAGGGCAAAGATGGATCTTCATCAACCAGGATTTGGGTATCTTCCACCTCCATCTCATCATTTGCGCCCAAGGTTAAAGCAGCATGTGTTTGATTGATCATATCGTCCAAATGCTTGTCGAGTTCTTCGTCTAGGAGATTCTCATCTTCTCGTTTTTCTCTAAACCTGTCGGTACTCACGCGAATGTTGTTCAATACTTCACCCTGAAAAGAAATTGGGACGTTAATTAAGAGAGTAAAAGTCTAAAAAAATAAAAATGAAAAAAAATAAAATGAAAACATAAGAAATAATAAAAGAAATATAGAATAAACTCACATATAATTTCACGCAGCTCGAAGAAGTCTCGTATCCTTGAGGTTCATAATTACTAGGATTAGATATCAGTCTGACAGTGTTCACCATGAACCATTCATAGTACCCCTCATATACGGAACCAGGAACTCCTTCCTCCAAATCTCGTAGCACGTACTCTTCTCTCCTATTCCAATAACGACGTACTACGGAATGGTGGTCTACCCAATTATTGCTAGGATACCCAGACATACTGTGGGCGTGATCGAGAAGGAATGTTGCGTTATCTTTAATCATGGGGCGCTTGGGAACATCCTGTATGTATCCAAATTGTCTTACGACTCTGCCCGACTCGTGGGGTTCCCTAATAGCCCAACAGAACAACCAACACCTGGTCGTCCAAATGGCTTGGCCTTGTGTACAGAAATCAGGGAGTCTATGAAGGACATGTGCATATGGTTGCCACCGAAACTGCACGAAAAGAATTTCATTAGATGGTACAACCGGAACGAAAAGAAAGGGGTAATTGATCTCAAAGTAAATATAAATTTCAAATTACAAGTACTTACATCTTCAACACGCAGGCTTGTTAATTGATCTCTAAAAGGTGGGGTGCTGCTCCTTGGGGCGTCGCCGTAGGTGTACCTACATTCCCACCTTAATGAACAAAGGGGTACATTTTAATTAGTGAAATAAATGAATAAGAAACATTGAGTTATTTTGAACTGAAAATACGTACCGCTAGGCTAATGGAGCGGTCTCATCAATTAAATAATCTACTCCTTTTCTTTGTGGCGCGATCCTCTCGATCCGCTCATACGCCCATACCTAGTAAATTGCAATAATAATGTTAAAACTTCAAATTATAACACGAAACTGGAAAATAATTAAAACACAAAATAAAAACTAATACGTACCTATAGCAAATATAGACACCTAGTGGCGTCGTGCATAGTGTACTGTGATGCCTTGAACAGTCCAAAGTACAAACCAGCTAGCAGTGCCGATCCCCAACTGTATCGACTACACTAATCCAAATCTTCAACCTGGGCGAAGAACTACAGATTGACAGTGTTTTGCGTCTAGTTAGGAAACATGAAACTGCTAGTAAAATGCAGTATAAGTGTCCTGGCCCTTTGCTCGAATCGATGGACAGTAGAATTCTCAGGTATTGCGTGGCCCATCTCATCTTCGAAAATACCAACATTGACACATTGGTCATTTACTTGGGCTGGCTGGAATCCCAAATAAGCCTCACATCGATCCCGCCATTCATCTGCAGTCCGGCTAACTGTCATCCCGTACACCGGGTCACCATCCACCCGAATACCAAACAGGACCTCGACGTCCTATAGCGTCACAGTCGCCTCTCCGAAATTGAAATAGAAAGTGTGGGTTTCTGGCCTCCACCGTTCCACCAACGCGATAATGAGGCCGAGATCTACTCTTTTGTACCCTACTTTCATGATCTCCTCAAAACCGACTTTCCTAATGACTTCCTTAACCTCAGGTGCCGTATTTTTGTATATCCCCCAAAAATCGCTATCGTATCTATGGCCCTTGAGGCGGAATGTTTTAATGTCCGGTATCTTGTTCTCATAGACAGCTTGGGACCTACGCTTTGTTTGACGATATAGCATTTTATCTTGTATAGGTCCCGGGTGAAGATGTTTAGGTTGATAGTCATATTGTGAGCCCGATGCCGGCGTCGCCATTTCAATCCTACACAAGGTAATCAATACCATTTCAATCCAAATATGCAAAATATATAATGCACTAACCAATTCGGCCAAAAAAACAATTCAACCAAACCATATACACTCGGCCAAAAAAAACAATTCAACCAAACCATATACACTCGGCCAAAAAAATAATTCAACCAAACCATATATACTCCACAACCTACAACCTCAAATTCCTCATAAAAAATGTCCAACTCTCTACTGTCTCCTCATCCACAATCGCAAATGCAACCGGTAAAATGTACTTGTTTGTGGTATAGACCACCGCAACAAGCAATTTACCCTTGTATCCACCACACAAAAAGGTTCCATCGATACAAATGACCGGTGGACATTCAAAAAACGTCTCAGCCACTGATGCAAATGACCAGAAGACGTATTAAAATGTCCTATTTCCCCTGTTCCAACCTTCTTGTCCCTCCTTCCATTCCCACTCTACTACAGTCTCAGGATTAGTAAACTTAAGCGCAGTGATATACCTACACAACAACAAGTCATTGTTAAAATATTTCAATGCATGTAAAAAAAACACTAAAAATATTTCAATACATGGATAAAAGTTGATATTTACCGTGGAAGTTCTTCAAAATTCGAGGTCCAATCACCATAGACCGCTTCTATGGCTTTCCTCCTCCCGTGCCACGCCCTTTTGTATGGCACATCTACTTTCAATAAGGTCTTCACATCTTTCTGTGCCGAGGCTACCGTATAATCTACGTTGTCCTCAACCTTTCTCCTGATTAATCTAGCAATCAAAGACGCGTCAACACACCGATTGTCATTATCATTCACGGGAGTCATGCAATCATGTGCATCATGCCATCTCACAATTTCATGAAGGCCGTGAGCTTTCAATGACACACGCATCTTCCACTCACATGGTGATTCACCATCCTCACTTTCCACATTAAATGTTCTGCACCGCACAGCCCACGTCCTTGGACTACTCGCGGCGACCGTATATTCCCTTTTAGGATGGATGTTCCATAATTTCACAGCATGCTTTGCTTCTGATTGAGATTTGAAACAAACACCAATGTCCATTCCTTCGGGCGTCCCATCCCACATCTTAAGAGCAAACTCATCCTTGTCCATACATGAGGCATCCCATTTCCCCATCTTACTATATACATGGCGTCGGGGCAATGGATTACAATCCCTTTCCTCATTTTCCAACCTTTCATTATCACTTTCTTCAAAATCACTCTCTCCGGAGACATCACAGTCTTCTTCACTTTCACTTGGAGCTATGTAGTCGGAATCTGACTCTTCCCGGTAGTCATCTTGTGCAAATAAAGGTGTCTCCTCTTCATCACGGTTTCGAGAAGTACTAGCACGTTCCCCCCTTGGAAAACCACCAAATGACACGTTTTCCAAACTCGCTTTTCTTTCTTCTTGAGTGATATCTTCAAAATCTATGTATTAATCCAAACATGACATTGGATCTACACGGTTCATGAACTTTACATGCGAATCATTCTTGATTTTCACTACCCGCCTACCACCGGGACTATCGAAAATCAAAGAAAGGTGGAGTTTCACTTGTGCTGGATCCCAACCAAGTGTCATACAAATCTTACTAATCAATCCCTCATATGACAACCTTTCTTCAACAAACAAACCATCATCCGGCATATTCGAAAAAATGTTGATGCTACCGTTCTCTATCACATACTTACTTGTATGATACAAATTAAGCATGTATGATACATTACGTGCCATTGATAACTGTTAAAAAGAAAACATCAATAACTAATCATTTCTTAATAACAAAATCAACAAATACACCATACATAGTCCATTCATAATTCAAAAAACATATAAAATACTAAAATACTTATAAATCAACTTCGATATCTCATTAACAACTATGATTTCTCATCTCTAACCTCAAAATCAACACCTAAAACATCCAAACAACCAACCAACATAAACCCTAATCTATCATACATCATTCTAACAATCAAAATAACACAAAACTAAACTAAATAACATGGTTTTGCAATCTAACCTCTTTCAAATAACGATTCCCACGTATCTAGAGGCAAGAATGCATCAAAAGCTCCAATTTGCCCTTGTTTGAGTTGCAAAAACAGAAAATCCAACTCAGTTCTCGAATGAGAACTGTCTGAAATTTTTTTTTCTTTTATAGCACGTTAAACTCGGATTTACGAAATCCGAGTCCGTAAGTAATTCGGATTTTTGAAATCCGAATTACATTAGTTTTGGATTTCATTAATCCGGATTTGGTCAATTCCGAATTATTTTATTCATTTTTTGGTCCTCCAATTTATGGTACATGCCTACTTCCACCAACCAAAACTAAAGGCAGTCGGATTTCTAACATCCGAATTCATAAAACCGGATTACGGACTTCCGATTTTTGGATTCAAAAATTTCGCGCCGCGATTTTCTTTTTTTCTTTTTTCTTTTTTTACACTCGGATTTTAAAAATACGAGTACTACTGTTCATTTAAGGAGTCCAGGACGTAGACTCCTTATTTGAGTTCAAATTTTTCGCGCCTCAATTTTATTATTTTTTAATTAAATTCAGATTTCGCAAATCCGACCGGCACCGTTCATTTAAGAATTTTTAAAAAACTATTATTCAACAAAATTTATTTAATTATTATTTTATTATTAAATATAGACTCGGATTTCCAAAATCCGAGTCTTTAATTTTAATCAGAACTCGGATTTCAGAAATCCGAGGAATATAATTCTGTCCACAAATATTCTGAAAAATTTAAATTTGTCCACATTTATTTTAATTAATTTTTTTTGGGAAAAAGCCCCACAAATCTGCGTGCGTACATATTTAAACAATCGAAAGAGTTCATCCAATTTAATACCAAAGGGGAAAAAACACAACTTGAATCTATACGTGCACTAAATGTTAAACTATGTTAAACTTGATCTTTTAACTGAAACTAATAATTAATTCATAAAACCAAAATCGTGGCCCAGAAAAAAAAGAAAGTCACAGTTGAATGATCTGATTCATTAGCAAAACTCAAGAAAAAATTTGATTAAACTTAACGCCCACCAAAAGAGCCAAATCACAACTTAATTGATTAACAACCAATGACCCAATTTTTTTGTTAATAAAACTAATAATTAATCTAAAAAAATTTGCTTCAGCCGAAAACTAAATCCACATAAGCAAAAGGAAACAAAGGTGTGCATGTGCAAAAAAGATGAACCAAAATGAAATGAAGTACTTAAATCACAAAATCATATTGATAGCCAAAATCAAAACCCAGAACTGCACGGCTTATGACCAAAATAGTTAATCAAACTTGATTTAATCATCATAAATGCGAAACACAGATTAATAAAATTACATACCTTATTGTTCCGATCATAGGTGCCTGTCAACGTCGCTGTTCCGATCTCCCAAAATCCATTAACCCCCAATTGAATTAGGGTTTAATCAAACTCATTACGAAGTAGATTTATCCTGAATCTAGAATAATTAGGATTTTAATTAAACCCATTACGAAATAGAAGCAGGAATTGAAATTAACAAAATTCAATAAAAAGGCCACCATTACTGACCTTGATGTCTCGATTGTAGCCGCCGCCGATGTCACCATTGTTGATGTGCATGCGAGATCTACTTTGAAGGTTGTTGATTTTGGCGGATATGAAGGTTGTTGACTTTGAAGGTTCAGATTTGAATGCAGTGAAAAATAGAGCGGCGTATTTTTCTTCCATGGCTCCCTCCGGTATCGGAGATTATTCATTAGATTCGGTGGAGGGTATGGCTTTTCAGAACCGCCAGAGGAGAAAAACCACTGAGAAACATAAGGAGCAATTCACGGCGGATATTTTTTTTTTTCGCTGCTCCCTCTGCAATCGTAACTTCTCCCCGGAAATTTCTATAACTTGTAGGATTTATATGAATAATGAAAAAAAAACAGAGCAAAATCGGATCCTTTCTATTTGAAATTCATATGGATATCGTGATTAATGAAAATTGATTTGAGGACGCATTGCTTGATTTTAGATAGAGAAGATCGTGTATATCCCTTTAATTGGGGAGTTCGAGTAGGCAAAAAGAAAAAACTAAAAGATAATGTTTCCACTTTTGAGATTAAATTTTTTTTTTTATTTTTGTAACCCATTTATTTCTATTGAATCAGTAGAGAGCCACGTGTCGTGAAAAAAAGCTCTTTTGACCTTTTTTTTTGGTTTTGGCGGGAAAAAGCTCTGTAAAACTGACTCGTCTCCTAAGTGTCATTTGCTTTTATGAAGTGTATAAAAGGATAGGAATAATGAAAAATGACTAGGAAATGTTATTGGATGTCTATGAAAAAAAAGTTCAATTTTAAAAATTAAAATCTTAGAATTCGACGTATAATATTTATACTCAAAAAATAGTTATTAAATGGATAAATAGACGTGATACAATATTATATTATTCATATCAATCTACAATTTTGAAAGATTAATTAATCAAATTTATAGATTTAATTCTTCAAATTGCACCCTTTTTAAGACTCACATCTCCTTTATAATGTACTACGATGTAATTGATTGCATCTCTTATACGCAGAGTGCGGTCTTTCTTTTTTTCGTATTATAAAAGATATTGGAGAATGCCTGTCAAAATTTTGCGGTGATTAATTCTTTTATAGGATGAAAATTGGTATTCTGAATGATATCTGTGTTTTTGTGTGGTGAATGGAACTATGGAAGAGATTGTCTGACATAACTTTTCTCAAATGTAAGATCTTGAGAAAATACTTCAGGTTGAATGCGTTGTTGGACGAGTTGAGAATTGATGAACAAAAAAGAGGAGACAAAAAGGAAGCAAGCAATAGATATTATGATGCAGTTCATTCGTTCTGTTGATGCAGTGTATCAGGATGCGACTCTTCAATTTAAGGTGATGAACCGTAAACTGTGGAGAGTTATACTACCCAGCAGTCGCAGCTCTAGATCTCTACCTTCTTCTTGTCTTCAACGGGTTCGAGTACGACACGGTAATGTGTTGAGAATTATGGAGGATAAAGAGAAACTAGTAAGATTGAGAGAGGAATTAGAGCCTTTTCCTCCTCTTGCGGAAGGAGCGCAGGGTTCAAACTCGATGGACTGTTCTTCTTCTGTGGGTGAATCAAAAGTGCATGGTCGAGAAGCCGAAAAGGGTTCTCTACTTAAGCACACATTGCCTCAAAGTGTGGAAGTTGATGAGGGAAGAAAGTATAAAGTTATCACGATACTAGGGGCTAAAGGTAGCGGAATAACCACATTGGCACAATTTGTCTTCAATGATGAGAACGTGAAGGAACATTTTCAGCCTAGGAAATGGATAGTGTGGAAAATCATTTGGACATGATTCGTGTGTGCCGAGAGATCCTTGAGTGTTCAGACAGTGAACTTACAGATAACGATGTGATCCGCCATGTGCGAGATTCCATATTTAATAACAAGAGATCCCTAATTGTCTTGGATGATGTTTGGACTGTGAGCGTCATTAGTCGAATTCGTATCAACATGGTACTCAAAGAGTGCGCTCCTGGAAGCGTAATCTTGGCGACAATGAGTTTTGAAAAAGTTGTAGAGTCAATTGGCCTGGATCCCAACCACAAACTATATGATCATTGTCACCATAAAACTGTTGGTCGATCTTGAAGCAGATAGCATTGTCCACAAGACCACCTCGATTCTGTGAAGAGGTTAAGGATATTGGCCTTGTAATCACAACCAATGCCTGGGTCTGCCGCTCGCTGTACAGATTGTGGGATATGGTTTGTTTTCTAAAGACACCAGAGAAGCATGGCTACAAGTTTTTGATAGTTTCCAAGTGACTGATGCACTTGAGAATCAATTATACATAAGATGATTTGTATAATTTGTCCCAAGAATTTGCAAATTTGACCTCAATCCAGACTTGGGATGTCTTCATGGTTGGAGGTAGGAATAAAGATAATATCAAAAGGTTGGGACACCTTGACAATCTTAAAGAAATTCAGGATGTTGTGCATGGAGAAGTACCTCTTAAGGATGCCAAATTTGAAAACAAAACCCGAATGGAGAACTTGGAATTATGTTTCATAGGGAAGGGTGGCGATCATGGAAATGCAAGTTCCATTGAGGATTTTATACCTCCTCCAAAGTTGCAAATGTTGAAGTTTGAGGGCTGCCCAGGATCTAAAATACCACAGTAGATCATCAATGATTCACTCATCAAAAGTTTAAGAAGGCTGAGCTTGACATCCGTCAATATCCATTGTTTGCCAAACTTGTGGAAATTGTTCTCTCTTGAGTTTTATTGGATCTGTAACATGCCAATTGTAGTTTTAGGTCTCGGCTTTTTTGGATTCCCCAAGAAAGTACATAAGAATGAGTATCCTAATATTGAGGAAACCAGTGGGCATTATGGAGATGATGAGATAAAAACATTTACTTCCTTGAAGACATTGCGGATTGAATACCTTGAAAGATGGGTAATCTTTGAAGATATAGAAGAAGGTGATGAACAGAAAATCTAAGTGATGCCTAAATTGGAGGAGCTTATCATTAATGACGGCCCAAAATTTAAGGCACTGCATAGTCACATCGTGGGGAAAAACTCATCGCTCAAATTGAATGGTTGGTGAATTTAGCATTTCGCTTGTGATTGAATTAGAAAATAACTAATGCTTAAATGTGGTCATATCAAACTAATTATTGGTTTTTTCTATGTGTCATTTCGTTTCCTTTGGCAGATGATTGGTTTCAGAGTGAAACAACAACAAAAAGAGAATCAGGAAATTAGCTTGAAGAACCACAGGCTACATAAGCTTTCAAATTTTCAATTACTTAATTTGTATATGAATGTAACGCGTGAATTGAAAAACACTACTACTGTGTGATGCAGTGTTTTTTAGAATCTTGGTGTAATTTATGTACATGGTCAATACTACCAAATGATTCACTAATTATGATGAAAGGATATGAAAACATGGTT